ATATATATATATATATATATATATATAAATATAAAAATATAATAAATCGTGATTAAAAAGACGATCTCCCACGAACCCATGCAATTATATGTACGAGAACATTTTTTGTAAAATACAACATGAAATTATCTATTTGCATGCATATATATACGATTTCTTTAGGGGATAATCTTTAATATTTTCACACACAAAAATATCATAAATTTTTACAACATACATAATTTAAAGGAATGTGTGTAATTACATCATCTAGTCTTAATGTGTGTGTTTAGTAAAAGAATGAGAAAATTAATAGAGTAAAAATGATAAAATTAATATTATTTCTTCTCATTTTTACCTTATTCAAAGAAAATATATTATGGGAACAATACTTATTTTTTTAAGGGGGTATTTTTTTTTTATCTAACATAGTTAAGTAAAAAGAAAAAACGTGTGGGCACAATTGTCCCATAGTCTAACATGTGGATCCACCCCTAATTATGGTATATTTAAAAGTTATTATTATTATTATTTGACAAAATTTCTCTTATCTTCTCCTTTCTTCCTTTTTCTTTAATGTGTTTAATTTTATTAATTATTGACCCAAAAAAATAATAATACAAAAATTCTTGAATTTATCCTAAGAATTTAATAAATATGTACTATCTGTAAATATTCTTATATTATTATTAAAAATATTTTTATTGTAATTTAAAAATAATTATAATTAAAGTGAACAATTATAAGATATTAAATATATTGCACTAATAGATGAATACATGCACTATTTTATTTAAATTATTTGAATACCGTAGAAACTATCTTAAAAAAAAAAACTAAAACTTAACGCTATAAATTTGTGAAAGATTAAGATTATCTGGGTTATGAATTAAATAACAAAAGAGCAAAATATTAATTAATTTAACCATGTAAACCTTGATTGTCAGTGATGGACACACTCGAGTGATCGGAATTGGGCACCAACGGCAGCCCACTGCCGCACTTCGCCACCGTCCTCAGGCTCTCGACGAACGCCTCGGTCCGCGACTCCTGCGACAAAATCTCCGACAGCTGCTCCGGGCTTATCACTAACTTTACTTTCCACACCCCCTTCCTCGGAAACACTTCATCCCCTGCTTCCGACCACACCCTATTATTATTGTTATTGTTGCTTTCGTAGGTAGACATCCTATAAGGCGTTAAGGTTGCACTACCACCAGCGTTGGACACGTGCCTCATCATTCTCTTGCTACATGTCAACCTGCGAGAAGGGTCCAGAGGAAGGAGGTAGTAGAGTTCCCCCGCGTGAAGCTCCTCGTCGTGGTGCAGCGGCTCCGATAACAGGTCGCGGCGGCTTCGGAATATTCCGTGGCCGGAAAACTCGTTGGTTATGCGCTCTGCGGTTATGGGGGTGTAGAGCTCCATGATACCTCCGTTTGAGGTCACCACCTTTTCGTCCGAAACGCCCTCACTTGTGGTGTTCCCTTTGAACACACAGTTCCCCATTGATGGAAATAAGAGCTCTGGATGTGAATGGTGACAACTGACAACGTTTTTTTTATATGTTATTATGGGTGGTTTTGGAGGATAACTAGCCGACACATAAAGCATCCAATTCCTTTCTTCTTTCTTTGCGAACCTTTGGGGGTATCTTTGTATATTGTATATGGTTGGTTGGTTTTTAGTGGGGACTGGATGACCCACTTAGTTTGTATTATGATCAAAGTAAGATTAGACCATTACTATTTATTCTTGTTAATAGAGAAAAGAAAGTAAAAAGCAAAATATTTATTACATTAAAAATGTTAAAGGTTTTGACTAACTAATATATACTCCACTTAAAATTAAAATTTCATAGTTATTTTGAATATATATGTAGTCATTAAGAGGAAATATAGACACCAGATTTATTATTAGTATTGACATATATTATTATTGGATGCTTATCCTTTGTTTGCTATATTTAATGAATTAAAACAAAATGGCTTAAAAGTTGCAGCTAGCTAGCAATGTGTGAAAAAGGAGCAGAGCAACATGTTGTAGAAGGCAATAGATAAGAAGTAAGAAGCGTAACGTCAACGTTTGGTAGATGATGGTCAATGGACCGTATGATGAATTCATGGAAAGGGGAAGGGAGGCATGTCGCGCCGAGGAATGGCTACTGTGGAAGTTTCAAGATGCAGGAAGCTACAATGTTTATGGGGTAATGGGTAGGACAGGAGTATATGTAGAAGACAATCAGACGAGGAAGATTGATTCCGGCGAGTGAGCCCAAAATATATGACGACGAACATGTGTCCCTTCCCTTCCCATACTTTATTACAATTTGACGCTTATAATCATGGTCTCTACTTTTTTACCCTTTTTTTGTTGAGCACTTTTTTACTTTTTACACGTGTAATATGTAAGTAATAACACACTAAAAAGAAATGCTAACAAATAGTAGTATTAATTTGGTCTAAGAAATTAAATTACTCAAAATTTTAAATGTGTATAGTACTATACATCGAATGAGGATCGTAACTATATATATATATATATATATATATATATTATATAAAAAA